CTGGCGTCTTTAACGTAATTTATTGCTTACGGCTTATGGGGCACGGTGAAAAGTTAAGGCCAACTGGCAGGGTGTTGCAAGGTCTATATCTCCTGCAACTTTCGAAATCCTTTTGCTTTTTCTGTCGGGGGAATGAGCGAGTGGAGTCCGGAGATAAGGTAGGCTGAGATCCGGAGCTCCAAACTCCGGGTGAATTGATTTGGGACGAAACTATGCACGGCACCCATGCAAAGTTTGCTTAATTTAGCCCAGACAATGGGGCTCCAGTGAACAATGGCGCACAATGCCATCACCGGGGCCACATACACACTCTTGTGGTGACCGAGACCCCGCAATCGGTTTTCGGGCTCCCTTCGAATGCAATTCGACAGCTCAAACTCCCCGGGGGAAGTTCGAGTTAAGCCGGCTAAATATTTCTTATGCACAATTTTAATCAAACTGAGGGAATTCCTTGACTACGAAACTTTAATCGAAGGGTTCTTTAAGATTAAATTAAAATATCCCATTAAGTTAAGAGGTGTTTAATTGTTTTTGAAAAGTAAGCGTCTAACTTGTTATTTAATATAAATATAATTTGTGATTATAACCAATTCAAATCTTTTGTAAAAAATGGGGAAGTTATAATTACTTTTCCATAACAATAACTTCTCTGACTCGATGTCACTATAAGTTGAAGTATTTTGTATAAATAATAACTCTAAGTTGAGTTACACAAAATCTAATATATATTTTTAATAGTGGTATATTTTAAGCTCAACATAATTCTTTTAAAAAGTTCCTAATTGGTCACTCACATTCACGTCTTGTATTTCAAAAGCCCACTTATTATCTTTGATTAAAGTAAACCAGCGGACACCTCAGGTGTGGCGGGATGCCACATCTCCCAGTTGCCGTTCGGCTGACCCCCAAAGTGCCACAATTTATGGAGTCGCAGCAAGTCGCCTAGCGCCCGCTGATCGCGTCTCGCGAATCGCGTTCCATTCACCGGCGATATTTCACTGCTTTATTAAGTTAATTTCATATATCACAACTGCAGGCGCCAGTCGCTTGTAGGGCATTTGAGTGGATACTTCCACTCCATACCGCACAGAGCTCTCCTTTTGACCAGGACAAGCTGTGGCGCGCAGCTTGAGCTCGTTACTTTGATGCATTTGGGGCGCGCGTTTATTTGTGGACGCCACTTCCACAACAGCGGGGCACTCCACTTGCGAAAAAAATAACAAATATTTTTTTACAACAAACTAAAAGTTAAGGAACTTAATATTGATTTAACAAGAGGCAACTTCCCCAAAAAAAATCTATACAATTGTAAGATAAAAGTATTAAAATCACAAGCTCAACTTTGAATTAACATTGTCTTTTAAAATCGGTTTTCATGTATGAAGATTGTTATTTTTAAATAGTAATAGGAAAATAAAAGAACCTAACTATTTTCTTATAAATAAATTAGTCTGAATTTGTTCTTCAAAATTAGCCTAAATATAATTAAAACCTTTTCTTATTGTGCACTTTTTTTCAGGCTTATTCTGGCGCCTGCGACTGCACTAAAACCAGCAACTGCGGCTCGATTAAGATAGCTCACCAAATCTGCGGCATGAGCAATGCCCAAATTGGCAACATCACTCAGTTGATTTGCGACGACCCCTCCCCTTCCTCCCCTCCCCTCCCTTCTCCTCCATCCAGCTCTCTAAAAAGTCGAAATGTTTTTTATGCCGACGACCGCCCATTAGCCACATGCGCGCCTGCGTGACACAAGGGCATCAATCAAAGTTTCACCCGTTCCCATGACATGTGTGTGTGTGTGTGTGTTGCAGTGTGTGGGTGGTGGTTTTTCATGGAGGGGGCGGGGGGCGTTTTTCGCGGTTCCCGGGGTTCGACTCTAGCGCATAGGCGTGTTGTATTGGATTTGTTTGCCTGTGCCGGCTGCGCGCGTAAAAAGACATTTTGACAAATTCAAGTAGCGCCATCTACACTCGACTTTAATAGCTTTTATACTGCTTGTCACGATATTTCATCAGTCAAAGGGGCCGTGGCCCAAGCCACGGCCAACACAAGAATAAATGGATTGACACACATGCCATTCCTCGTGGCAGAAGGGGCAACCCGAAAAAAAAAAAAATACAAACAAAAATGGGAGGAAAACCGTAGAGGAAGCGCGAATTTTATTCGATGTTATTTCCATTTGAAAATGAGTTATTGACACATGTAGCCAACCCCGAAAAAAGGGACAACCCGCAACCGCAGGATCCCCCGATTTTCCCCCGCCCCCTGGAAAACTCACTTCCAACATTGCGTGGGAGCGGCATGGCAAAGAGCGCGCATAAATTTGGTCTGCCAAAAAAAAAAAAAAGAAACGAGGAAAAAGAATAAAGAATCAGGGGGACTCCCCTTTGTTTTCCCCCCGCCATTACACACTTGCGTTCAGATTGCGATTTGCCTGCTTTCTTTTCTCCGATTTGATTTATTTTATTTGCTTTGTGCGGCGCCGCAAGTGCTTCGCCCAATGGTTTATTAATATCGTAGGCGTTGCTAGTAACGTGCCGCTTTCGTCGGGCGGCCAAGTGATTCGCCAGCCAGCCGGATGCGTTATTATATTATGTGTATTATGTTCCCACAACGGAGCCGGTGGAGAGCGGTTAATCAAATATCCCTCATTATGGTCGTTATGGCCCATAACACGGCCCGCTACACAAGTTGCTTTTGCGGGGATAGCTTAGCTAATTTGGGGATTTAGTAGGGGGTAAACTTCTTATCGATGTATTATCGTGGTTTAATAGAGAGACCGCAAAAACGTTGGAGTCTTGGTTTTGTAGAAACTATTGTAGTTATTGAAGACCTAAAAACACGTTGTTGAATTTATAAATGAAGATTTGCTTATTCAAACTTATAGTTGAAATCATCATGTGACCGGAATAAAATTAATATTTAACTTGTAATATTATTTTAGAATTTAATTTTGGTTTAAGCAATAAAATTCTAATAAAAGTTTCTTTTTTGCAAATAAACACATTGTTTTGTGTGAAATTGAATAAGTCCAAGAAACCTAAAATTATTTATGGTTTTCAGAAACTATTTGTTATATTCAACTTATTGCTTTGCAAATTGGTTTTTATAAAAATGAATTTATACAAGATGCTTAAAGTCATTTATGGTTTTCAGAAAAGTCGGGTTTTAAGGACCTACCATACAAATTTTTCTTCCATTATTTAAAATTCAAAGCAGGCAACACACAACCACTTATTATTAAGCTGTTTAAGTTTTACTTAAACTGCTTAGCTTAAAGTACTTAAATGGCCCTGAAAATCTTTAAGTTCACTCAAAGTCTGCTCCTTAAAGAGCGATGTTGCATTGCCTTGCAGACTAAAGTCGGATGGCAGAAATAGTTAGATGACTGATTGATGAAGTTGATGAACGAACGAACGAACAAGTGATGAAGCGGATTGCGTACGTGTGTGCGTGTGTGTGTGTGTGCCACATTAGATATTCATACGCACCGTTGTCGGGACATGCCAGGAGGATATGTAGATGGGAAAGGGAAGGGAGGGGGAGGGGTTGAAGGGAGGTAGGCAGGTTGATGAGACGAATGTCCTGGGGCCGCCCAGGCGCTGTTGCTGTCTGATAAATCACATATTTTCGCTGATCAAATCAATCTAATTGACATCACTCAAAATGATGGCGGAAAAGTTTCCACATTCATTTTCGCATTCGCAAAAAAAAAGAAGGCAAACGGAAAAAAAAACGAATGAAATGCGAATAAATGAGTTCCACCCTCGGGCTCTGTTTTGGTTTAATGGTGGCTCTGTTTTGCTCCTGCGGTGCGTTCCCATCCCCCCGCCCCGCATTTCCCGCTTTCCATTTCCCCATCTCCATTTCCCAGTTGCCTATGCGGTAAAGCAGCGTGATTTATTTTCATTCCGATGGCAACGCCACCCAAATTCGACGCTCCGTCATCCTGACATTCGAATTGAAATGCAAATTCTGACGAATGTGCGCTGGTTTTGCGCACATGCCCCGGACCAAGTGGAGCAGGACATGGTTGTGGGTGGGGAAGGGGGTGGTGTAGAAGGGGGACTACGACGGATTGACTGACGAATGACTCCCGGCAGCCAGCGGCGACAGTAGGCGGTAAATGAGCGAGCTATCCGTGTGTGTTACTTTCAGGGATCGGGAATACCGCACTCCTATATAACATATATACTATACACCATGCATCAATGTACTCCGCGCACACATGTTCCAAACCCATCCACATCCACCTCGACATCCACATAGATATGGATTCGGATTTGACTTGGGAATGGCATATGAGTATACCTTCGCATGTGCGTATCGTTTCACATGCATCCCACGCCATTTGAATTGAATAGCATCTCATTTACTCTCGCATCATTATTTTTTATTCGAGTACCTAAGACGTTCGATAAAGGATTCCGGCTGCCAGGCCGTGTCCAATCGATTACCGGAGGCGGGTTTTACTCAATCGGATGAGTTATCATTCCAAGTGGATTGAAATGCACACTCTTAAGCTGGGAACTCTGCATAATAACTTAAAAGGATTGCCTAAAGCTCCTTAAGTCTTATTAACGATAGAAGAAAAATGCATTTAAATTAAATATACAGAAAATAATGATTATTCTTCATTCCTGACTAAATCTGCGATATAGTTTTGGAGCCATAGCGGAGATTTAATCAGATACCGATAAAAATAATTGTCTTGGTAGGTTTAAGAGTAAAGTATAAACACTATATAAAACAATCTTGAACTAATATTAAAATTAATTTTTTGTTTAAATTCCAAATATTTGTAAAGTTTTTCTTTTGTAAGCAAAATTTAAAATTTCAGTGGAATTAAAGTTATCTCTTTAACAGCAAACTATTTCTTTCCTCATTACTTTAGGACCTAACTTTGCTTACTCCTCTTCTGTTGGCCCCACTTGTTAATGAAACCCAGACTATGTACCAAGGACTACTAGTATGTTACATGCATGGCAAACACTCACCCCGAACCTCCTCCTTCAGTGGATCCGTCCTACGCCTCTAATGAAAGCAGCCGGCTTCGTCGGTTAATTCAACATCTGCAAAATGCAAGGATGTACATATTTTTAAAACAATCTCTGTTACCAGGCGGGCCTACTTAAAGCCGGGCATCATCCGCAGGGGCAGAAAAAGGAGGAGCAGGAACAGAAGGAGCAGGAACAGAAGGAGCAGGAGAAGCATTGGCCAACGTCCATCAGCCAGGACGACGTATGTAGTACGTGGTGTTGGCCAGCATGTAAATGCTGCTTACAGGCCCAGACAATATTAACAATTCCCCGCAACTTGGCCGACACTGTACTCCAAGTTTTCCCTCTTCCTGTGTGTTAGTGTGTGCGGGTGTAATGGTGTGTGTGCTGGTGTGCGGTGTTTGGGTGCGAGCGGACATTATATGCACATAAAGTGCTCTGCTCCTTCAACTGCAAGAGCGTCCTGCGGCCCTCGTCGTCCTTCGTCCTTCGTCCATCGTCCTTCACGACACTCGTGGCAACCATGTTTGTGTTTTTGTCCCCGCCACAGTCGCTGCTCCTTGGCCACGTTAACAACTGTATCCCTTGTGGGCGCTCTCGTTTGATGTAGGCGAGGATGTCCTTCGTGCACTGCACTGCAGGAAATGCCGACAGGCCATGTCCTTCCATCGCCCTAAAAGTATGCTGCAATATTTGTCGGTTTTTTAGCGAGATTCGTGGATAATTATAAGGGTAGAAAACTTATAACCTTGGGGATATAAATGTGTAGCACTTAATATTATTATTAGTATATATTTAACAAAGTATTTAGAATCCTATTTTATTGATTAAACAAAAAACTTGTAATATATATATAACAAATATTAAAATAATCATGAAAGGATAATAAACGAAGTAATGTCTAGTTCTGCTTAAATACTTAAATGTATTTTATATATTTTCATTTTTATTACTACACATTAAAATCTTGAAATAAAACCTTTTCATTTGTTCTTTAGTTTGAAAAGTTTTCTAAAGTAGAATTTTATGCAGATTAGATAAAGAATAAAATCTAAATTCTTTTCTGTTTAAATTTCATGCCCGTAAATTCACAAAAAATCCGCACTGCCTCTCTATATAGTCCATCCACATATGAACAATCGTGTGTACCTAACACTCATGTGGATGTGCCCCCGTGTGTGAGTGTGTATGTTGTTCTTGGACTTCCACTGGCGCTGTCAGTGACGTCGTCGTTTGCCGTTGCCGTTGCCGTTGTCGTTGTCGTTGGCGTTTCGTTGTTGTTGTCAGAGAGTGTCGGTCTCGGCGGTCCAGTCGCTGGCGGAGGCAAAGTTGTTCAAGTGGCAGCTTAATTCGCATAAAATGAAAACACGCTGTCTACATTGTTCCTACAACTTTTGGAGTTTTTTATGGCACTTAAAATGGCTGCTAGACAAAGGCTTAACAAACGGCTACCGCAGGATCTACGGTTCCAGCTCTCTCTCTTTATTACGTCTGTGCCGGCGTATGTGCTCCTTTTCATTTTGGCCAACTTCAAGACAATAATGGCGTATCTAACAGGCTTATTAAAGGTGGTCTAGCCACACAAAAAAACGAAAAGGAAAAAGAAAATGCAATCTCCACTGGTGAGAAAAAAAAACCGGTTGGCAGCCAGAGGGCTGATTCGCTACGCGGATATGGATATGACCTCTTTTAAAAGTGTCGCCTCCACAACAACACAACACAACACTCCTGACCGAAAATCAATAAATGCAAATTCATTTTTATTGTTAACATTTAAATAAAAGGTTGGACTTCATGGGCAGCGTATACAATGTAAAAAGCCGGGGAATGCCACCTCCGATAAACCAACATCAATGAAAGCACTCACATTTTTTTATAAATTCACTGTTCTTCATTCACAGGCGCCAGACTTTTGCGGGCGCAACTCCCCAATTGCCCCTTGCCACCTGCCACACGGACATCAGACATCAGAGTGTTAAACGGGAAGTCCGAAAATAATCGACAACGGAGAATCCAGTTTTTAAAGCAGGAAATTTAAGGAATTTAAGGGCTCATTTTCCGGTTATTCAATCAATGAGAAATTTTACAATCAATAAAAGCTAATATTTAAGGAATAATTTTGAATATAACGAATTTTTATTATACAAATCATTCTCACTTATTTTGTTTGTCAATATAAATTGTAGTTGATTTTACAAATCAAACATAATACTTATAGCTTCATATTTGTTTATTTGAAGCAAGATACGAGTATTTAAAAAAAAAAACATCTTTCATCTTTTGAAAGGTCAAAACTTCACCCCTTTGAGAAACTAGGGATAATAATAAAGACATTATATAAGAATTTTTGTGGAAAACATTTCGTTTACTTCCTGCAATTGGAGGCTGGTATGTTTTAATAGCTCTGGTAGCCGAGGGGCTGCCACAAAAAGCGTGCCAAGCGAATGAACAGCTTAATCGCCAGCACGAACGCTAAACACTCACAGTTGCGGTGGCTCCCGTTAAGAGCGACCCCTAAAAGCCATAAACTAAACCTGTTCCCCCAGCTGATAGATGGTATTTTCATAGCTGGACGGTTTTACTAAGAGCCTCAGCTGGTGACCCAACAATTTCCAAAGTTCAAGTTTTCTGAATGGCAAAGATTCCCTCCTAATAATAGTATGAAAAATGTTTAAAATAAAAATAGAGAAAATTGGTTTTAATTTTTTAATATGAAGTAGAGCTGAAACCAGCGACCTTTGCTAAAGTTTAAAAATTCCGTTTAAAACCTGTAAATAATTAAAGTAATCAAAGTACTTCCACCATGCTCCTCCATATTCAAATTAATAATTGAAAATATTAATCAAAGACATAATGATAGCAATAACCACAAACTGTGCTTTTGCATTGCCCCATTCAAAACAAATTCCACATTTAATGGTGAGAATGGGTTGAAAGCATTAATGAAAAATTAGCAATCTTTCGCAATAATTTACACACTTAACAAGGTTTCCCGGTGGAAAATATGCGTGCAGTGGCGCTCTTCATTAAAATAAAAATTCATTTCGCTAAAAAAGTATTCATATCGCGAGTGGGAGGACGGCAGGCAGACTCTGGGCTCAGTCTACCCCATCAAATAAAACAAATTCTACTTTAGTCGAACGCGAGAAATAGTTAGTTGCATGCTAACAAAGTAGACTCGCTTCTAGACTGGAATATGAATATTCAGGCCTGGCCTTATTTCGGCTTAGAAATGTAGAAACTGACCCAAAACCGAATGAGAAGACTTTGTATACAAACTGCGGAGCGTGTCAAGTTGGCATTTGGGGAAATATATAGGCTCCAATATGTATTTCCCATTTGTGAACAATCAATCGGGGAGGCAACGTATAACGTATCGCAATTCCCACAGCCGAAAGCAAATGCAGGCAACGACCCTTCGTGTAGGTCCAACTTTTTTGCTCCACTGCACCCAAGTGCAATCCGGTTGCATGTGGCCAACTGGCCGTCGCCGATCTGCGGTGTTGCAGTTGCAGTTGCAGTTTAGCGGTTATATTCTGCATAAATGAATATGTAATTTATTTTATTATGGTGCAAATTGCGAATTGAATTGTTTTTAATTATTCCATACAGCCAACCGACTATTTTTTTTCCATAACCCAAACCGCACACCAAAGTCTAGCCAGTCGGTTAGTTACGAGCGTATGAGCACGAACAATTCCTACTTATTCGCGATCGGAAACAAAATACTTTTGGACAAAGACTAAACAAAACTGTTAATTAGCCGGGCTTTTGTTGCAAGTGGTGAGCAGGAAAGAGTCGGGGAATTTGAATAAAATTGTTGCATGCCAACGTTTTTTGTCTTAATTATATTGTTTATGGCGAAAGTAATGCCACGGAGATTCATAATAAACACTTTGATCTATTTTGTCCAATTAAAATTAATGAGCCAAGTTTTGGAGTTTTTAGAATAAGGAATTGGTGGCGGAAATAATAACGTATATTTTATTCACCTCTGCAATTATACTTAGAAAGGTAAACAAGAAATATTCAGAACATAAGCAGAAAATAATTGTAATTATAATGTTGTTTTCTTAATAATTATATTAATATCTTCACTTTGAATGGTAGTTACATGAGTTTACTGTTAATTATTGTGTTGTAAATTCATGGCTTGGAAAATCTACAAAAATAATTAATCATACCAAAAGTGAAAGAAAAAAGAATAATAAATATTGCTTGTTGTTTTCTAATGACCAGTAGACTTTCCCAATTTGAACCAATTAAATTCAAAGCCTTACGAAATTCCCTAGAAAAGATAAATCATAACACTAGGGAATTCGACCTGTGACATGTGCACTTAACACATACTTTAGTTTAATACATTTTACGACCGTCCTCGGAAATTCAAAGTGGCGCAGCAGCAGTATGCAAATTTGGGTTGCGTTTCGTGTGCGCTTCAGAGGATATTACTTCGTTCTCGACTGGTTCCATATACCTTTTGGCCATAACGAGAGCGACCGCTGGCCAAACAGCCGGCTGTGGCCGACTGTGGCTGGCTGTGGCTTTCTTGAACTAATTAAAAATTCCAGCGCCGCAATTGCGAAATTGGCCCCTTATCGGTTGTATCATCGACGCCACGAACGCTTTAACATGATGCGCTGATGAATAGCTGCCTAGGCTAAGGGTGTACCACATTTATTTTATACTATACTCTTCAGACCGGGGGGATGGACTGTTGGGTTGATGGGGAAAATGAAAAGCATATTTATGAATACGATTACTTGGCCCATGATAATTTTTTTTTTTTGTTTCTCTCGCTGTGCAGGTTTATTTTGCAATGTCGATGGTGCTGCCCCGGCAAAAGCGACGGAGGCGTTTTGCGAAACAATTTCTGTTTATGGCCCCAGACACGCGACGAACATACCTAGTTGCGTGGCTTTTCATCATACGAATAAAAAATATAAATAACAAGCGCAGGAGAAAACTCTTAGGCGCTGCGCCAGGTATTTCTTAAACCCATTGCATATCGCATGGCATTTCTTCTGCGCTCGCCAACGGAAAAATAATGAAAACATATGCTAAAGTCCGATGGTCCGGCACCTTTGATACGTTGCCTGAATTTGGATCAAGTTTTAATTACAGTTTGGTGTTTAGTTAGCTTGAGAGCTCTTACTAGAACACTTTTCTATTAAAATTTAAAATCTGAACCATATTTTTTTCTGGGTCAGTATTGCATAGGTTATTTTAAATTTGTCCAATATGTCAAATGTTCAACGTAATCAGGACAACTTTCGTGTTGATTAATTACATTAATTTTATTATTTATTTACCTATTAATATGTCAATTATTAAACTTATGTGATAGCAATTTAAATGTCTCGCCAATAAATTGATAAGCTTAATTATTCTAATGACAGCACTTGAAATACGATAATAAATGGGTTTGTTTGTTTATATAAACAGCTTTAGCGGAACGTAGACATATTTATAGTCACGACTAGTTGGATATAGTTGTATCTTACTGTTTCTATTTATAAGAAATTTGAGGGGATACGTTTTAATCTAATATCTTGAAAACCTTTTATCTTAAGAAGCCTTATTTGTACTGTTACCTTAACAGGGAACTATGAATGTATTTTGGTGCCAAAAATGTGAATACCTTTTTATATGAATTGTAATATAAATTAGTAATTAAATATAACCTACTTCCCATTTTATGTTGTACTAAATCAAAACACAGTTTCTGTTCACTTAGTAAACTATTATTTAATTTAGCATTACACAATTGATGACCGAACAGTACTTACATGAAAGCGCTGTGGGACGTTAGTTCGGTAGTTTCAGTCGCCGTTTCAGTTGGCCAAGTGCAAAGTCCACGCAACCGGAGGTCACTTGTAAAGCTTCAGCGTGCCGGGGTCACGGCGTTATAAAAGACGCCAAGACGTTCTTGTTGACAAGCACGTGACGGTAAACTTTGGCACTCGTGTGTTTGTGTTTGTATTTGTGTTTGTTTACGCCGTGTAGGATTGTTGATCTGTTCGCAGCCTAACTTGGCCCAATCAGCGGGCACGCACTTTTGGTTTATTCACAACTTAGCGTTATTTGCGGCACTACCACCACCCACCGCCACAGCCACCCACTTTCTGCTTTCTGGCGGGGCAACCTGTTTCGACCTTGCGCGCCCACTCTCGCCCATGATGTTCGCATTACCGAGTTCGAGCGCATACTAGTTGTGTTGCATGTTCGCTTTTGGCCAAAAGCACTCGTTGCAAAAGAGAGTGCCAGACAGAGAAGGCACGAGGGAGAGAGCGAGCGCATGCAGAGAGACAGAAAGAGAGAGCGGGGGTTGCGCCGTCAACGAAAGTTGCGCATGTGCAGTGGAAAACGGGTTTTTCTCCTCCGGTGCGAAAGAGATGGGTAGCATTTCGCGGACGGCGGACTGCTCTTTCCAGGTGGGCGGCGGGCGGTGGGCGGTGGTTGCAACTGGAACGTGGAAAACGCTCCGCCTCCTTGAATGCCGCGAAATATGGCCAAAATGCTCGGGCAGCCTTGGTATTTTTAGGTTACGAATTTGCCAGGTTTTAATTAGTACACATGGCCCGGAAAACCAGGCGCTGTCCAAATGGCCAGTGGGTGGTGGTGGGTGGCGACTGTTTATGCCCCTTCATCATACCTTTGATCCAATTTAGAAATACCATGGAGCCAGCCAAATAGCCAATTAACTCACTTCTGATCAAAGGCAGAGCACTTCTCTTTCAAGGACCCCAATAAAGCCGCAAGCGATCCGAAAACTAGACAGCTATCCGTGGATTTTAGTGCACTCAAAAAAATTGGTTACCCATTAGACAATAATATAAATATGTTTGATATAATTTGTAAAACTTTGTTGTGCTTAAATGTGGCATTAAATAAATACAATGATTCAATTAACTACGTTTTATAAATTTACAAAATTTGAAATAAAAGTAAGTAAAAACGTTATTTATTTTAATTAACTAAAAAAATACAATTTTGAAAAATATTTGTCTAAATGAAATAAGAAATGCAACTGAATTGTATAAAGTTTACATATGTATTTAAAAAAAAATGTATATCAAATAAAATACTACCATATAAACTTGGAAAGTACAATCAGACATGGAAATACTAACAGTCTACTTGCAATTAAAAAATCCTCTTGAAATCTTAAAAGCTCTACTTCTCTTACTAATTATATTAGTTGATAAAAGCAGAGTATTGTTTTAATAAATTCTGCCTTCCCGCTGTATTAACTTCCGCATCTTAAGCTATGAATATATTACTTTTTGGTACAAACTGGCTCTTTTTGATTTCCACCGTGTACTCGTACGGCCGTAGATATTCTAGTTGGGCGGAATGGGATTTCGGGCCTGGGATATGGCTGCGCAGAACACGAGATAATCAGGGGAGCCCAGAAAGGGGCCTAGCTGGCTCTTTGTCGAAAATTGCATCCATGTCATGCATGCGCATCCATTCATTACCTAGTGGCTGAGTGGTTGGAAGACAGCGTTTGGCGTTTTGTATCCCAGCAAATATGCCGTGTTCGCATGTTATCCCAAATGTCCCTGGGAGCCCAACAGCCCCCGCAGCCGCCCCCTTTGGCTGCCCTAACCCCCGCTTTTACCCCCTTTTTTCGAGCCCCTGGCCACCCTCGACCGACCAGACAGTGTGTACTTTATTTTGCCGAACGAACAAACATCTTGTCGGACGAGCAAGCAAATGACTTTTCCCGTCCCAACTTTCAGCCGTTGTCCTTTCTGCGTGCCGTGCCTTTTTTGTTACCTCTACTATATCGGTACTAGTTTAGTCTCGGCAGTTTGTGAGGGTAACGCCACAGTACAGAAAGCCTTTCAGGTGATACGATAATGCCAAAATATTGCCACCAGCTTGGATGGCATTACAGGATTCAACAAGGTGAAATGGCCATGGCCCCCATATTAGGAAGTTGAGAATTACATTTTTAATTAAAAACGTTAGAAAAGAATGTGAAGGTGTGTGAGAATAAATTTGAGAGCTACATTCGGAGTTATCGATATGAAAGTGTGGGCTTTATTCTCTACCTTATTTTCATTTAAAATGTATAGTATAGAATTCGTAAAAATATTTATATTTATTATAAATAGTTACAAAACTATTATTTACATTTTCAATACTCTTATCATATCAATTAAATGAAAAAACAAGAAGTCTTATATTTTCCGAAGGAACTTAAAATAATTAATTTTCTTACTCTACAAATAAAAACTTGCAAAATCACAAACTTAGAAAGTTTTATTAAAAAGTTGTTTAAATGTAACTATAAATGCAAATTGCAAATGCAAATATATAATCTGTTATCAATATTTTGATCTAATTAAATTTATATACATTGTTGGATATCCATTTTAAAAGAGCGCTTGAGGATCAAATGTCTTGGGATTTGCGTGGGTCTCTATCATAAAAGCTTAAGTACTATCAATTGAGGAATTTACAAGTATCGCACCAAGTTGTTCTTAGAAAATGCTAACGCATACAATTTTCAGTTTGTAAACAGAAATGATTTATTTATTGTACAAACCAATTTTTACGACTGCTCATCAGTTAAGGCAGTTCAAATACGGTGGCAACAAGTATGTGGCTATTAGCAACCGATTCAGCAAAGTGCATTCCGATTAGAATAATTATTTAAACCGGCATCGAGCAGCTTTTAAGCGAATAGGTTATATTTATTAAAACCTCTTCACAACCGGCAGTATTTGTTAGTCACTTTACGAGGCGCTCGGCCGCAATGGCGAAAATAAATTGTATCCATATGGGAGCCGGGGAGCATCTGTTCGGATGCAAATGCTATCTGCAAGCCGAATGGGCATATTTATGGACATGGTACAAGCCGAACCTATGACTCGCCTATCATCCAATGGCTCCATGATCTCAACGATGGCGAATTTCCGCAACCGCTCATGTCAGCGTCCGAGTTTAAATGCGATCTGTGGCGCAGGTATCCGCCAGATACGTATTCTACATACGAGCAGCACATACTATAAAGCCAACTTGGAGAGTTGGGGGGGGACAGCCATCTTCCATCGCTGGGGGAAACATGAGCCAAATAAAAAGCCCATTTGCACACAAATTTACTTCCAAAATGCCCAAGATGCGCATCATTCAAACCGAGAATCGAGAACCGAGTGTCCGAGTGTCCGTGGAATGGGATGGCCCCGGTGGTAACTGGACACCGGATGCAGATAAATCTTTGGTCTGCCGCCGGCTCTCCGCAGAGCCGCAGGTCTTCTGATTCTGATTCTGGATTTTCTGAAAGCAAGTTGCGTACCCGGTGAGCCCAGAGCCAGCTCCAGGTCTTGGGGTCTCCAGGTGAAGTTAGCCCGGCTCGAAGCTCGATCGGAATCACGAGATAAGCTTGCAACAATCCCTGCTCGCAGCGAGCGGCGACAAACTTAATTGCGCCTATTCCTGCATTAATTGCACACACACGCGCGATTCTGGCGTCTCCCTGCCGCCGGAATGTGTTAATTAAATATTTAAATTATTCGTATTCGTATTCGCATTCGTATTCGGAATTTAATTCGTATTCTTATTCGTACATCGCTGCCCAGTGGATCTTTCATTACTCGAATATCGGTCGCTAGTGAAATTTAAAGACGCAGCACGCACGGCTGTGACTCTTCCCCCGCAATCCTTTCTCGCAGGACATTGAACACTTTTTGGTCTAGACGGTTTGCGGTCATCGGCAAAATAACAACAACCGCAGCAGCATCTGCAACTGCAACTGCATCTGCATAGAGGAGCCATCTGCATCTGATGCCTAGAAACCCGACAATCGCGTTCGATCAGCGTGCATTTTTGTGCAGCCATTCAACATTGCTGTTGCACAGCAAAAAAGCCAGCCTTTGACTTAATATTACTGCTACTGCAATAAGATAAATAATTCTATACTAAAATTGATTAACAAACTCCTTAAGTCGGTATGTGTGTATTTTTATGTTGTCAAAAATATAAATACCCAAAATAAATAATAATAATAAATATTTAAGTTCTTTGAAATCTTAAAAGACTCTATAGCAACTTCATTGATAAAAACATCTCTAATACACTTAAGAGATATAATATTAAAAATGCTAGAAAAAATCTTTTGATTAAACTTGATTTATTCAATATTTGACAAGGGCCCAAGGATAACGAAAAATCTAAGTTAGATTGTTCTGATTGAATTAGTTACATCTCATCTTAATTAAGGATATAAAAGAACATCCAATGAAAAACCCATTTCATCTGCTCTATATTTTTCCATGTGTGGTATTACAAAAAAAAAAAGAAGGAAAATATGACTCCACGCATCCTCTGGGCGAAAGCCACAAAACATTTTCATTTTATTTTTACACAAGCCAAATAGGACCAATCGGGGCATTCGGTGTCCTTGCGGTGGTGCAGCGCAATTGGAATATATATTAATTAAATGTAGTGCCCCACGGCAGCGGGGCTCATTGCCAATTGTCCAGTTTTGCTCGCCAATTTTGTGGATGTTTTGTTGTGTTTTCAATCTTTTTTTTTTGTTTTGGCCAGCAATGGTAAATGCAAAACGACGACAGGCGGCCAATAAACATGCAGGCCATCAATGAACGTTTCGGCGGAGATAAATTTGAAAATAGCAGCGCCGGCGGTGGGAGTTTTCGATGGAGCTACAAATTAGAGCTGCTGGCCCAAAGCGCTATATGGCTATATGGCTCTATATATATTTTATATGGTACTTCCATCAGCGGGCGCATTCAGCCGTTTAAAAAGCCAACCGCATGCAGTGTGTGTGTCAGAGTGTGTGTGTGTTGCATACTGTGGGTTGTGCAACCGCGGAAGTTTCGCCGGAGGACAGAGGCGTACCGTACCGTCCCGTGTAACCGGCGGCGGGGGCAATGGCAATGGCAACTACTACCAACTTGCAACTACCAACTGCAACCGTCGCCGTGGCCGCCCTGCAGCGCCAGCGCTCTAGAATGAGTTATTGGCCTTGTTGGCGATTTTATTGCCACGGCGCAGCCATAAAATATGGTAAATTATAGCGGTTTGTTGTTTTGGCCATTTTGTAGCCGAATAATGTTCTACGTGTGCGTCCTCAAGCCCCAATAGACCTGTTCATGTTTCAGAGAACCCCGGATTCGCTGCCGCTGCACACGCCCACAACACAAATGTGGTCTTGTCAAATGGAAACGCGACAAGTTTCTTTGTTCAACAAAAAGGTCCAAACACGCGCCGCTATAATATATTATATCGATGGCCCGAATGCAGGCCATATTTTATTATTTTAATTTTAAATTAATTGCACTGGCAGCGGGAAAAATGTTTGTTCAAAGAAATTATCCCAACAAAAAAATCGGAGAACGATGAATTAATTTATTGCGTTAGGCAAAACATTTTATTTTGTTTTCCAGTTAAATTGTAAATGGGTAATTCTTTATAAAAACCGATTGCGGTTTCTCAAAATACGATTTCAAAAAACTTAAAATGCAATAAAAATAAAATAAAAATTATATACCTCGAAATTAATGAATTAAAACTAATTAACAACATTTTTATGACCAAGCCATAATTAATATCTACAAGCGTTGCACAATTAAAAGATGCAATTCCGATTATATGAGTATACACCTCCCTCCTCTTCATGGGCTTTTCCACATTCTATTGTTTCTGACTTTTAAATTACATCCACCCCGAAAGCGAAGTGGGCATCAGATGCTGCAATCCTTTTTGCAGCCGTAGTGAAATCCTTTTTGCCACTTTGCACCGAAGAGGCAATTGTGCGGAAAACCCCTAAACATGTTTTGGGTTAATTTAAAATGTGGCCCAGCCCGAATCGCAGAGAACAAAGCGCTAAATTAATGTTGTTATTTTCCACTCGGCGGATAAAATGGCCAAAGCCAGCCTCCGACAAAAGCCAACTGGGCTCATTATGATCTGGACTTTGTTGCTGGCGGCAGTTGGCAGTTTTCAGTTGGCAATTGGCAGTTGCATCCCAGACTGCGTCCACATGCATTTGCGAAAAAGTGCAATTGACTGCAGATGCTGCCATGATTCAAGCGGCTAATTTGAAAATTCTAAAATTTATCTAATTGTCCTTACAGCAACTGGACCCCACGGGAGCTTTAATGGGTTTGAAGGCCTTCAACGAGAATGTGAATTGCATTTGACCAAGCTGCAGTTTTTAAAGATGGCATTTGAGGTAGATGAACTTTAAATTAAAAATATTTTAAAAGGAATTATATACAGCTAACTCTTAATAAGGTATTAAGAAGCTGATTTTGATGATGATTTTTATAATCAATATAAATCAATTACATCCACTAATATTATTTTCGAAATATTACTTTGCAATCTCAATTTACAAACGCTACAATTTTGTATACCGGTCATGTTTTATTTATTTAATATTTTCTTCATTTAGAAAAATAAAATTCAAGCTTAACCAAAAATTTTTCTGCTTTTTGTGACTACGTGTCCCAATTTAGCCCCTAAATATCCGTCCAAAAATGTGTGTACGATTGTTTAAACTCCATGAAATGCGTTAGGCGAGTTCCTCTAATTAGAAACGTGACGCTCGTGGAGTGTATCGATCTGATAAAATAAAGTTGTTGCTCCCCAGTTGGTTACGCACAGGTAGCTGCTTACCCGAATTTTTTCAGAATATTGCGATCATTATGTTGTGTCGCACTTACAAAGGGATCAACTGTCAATCCGAATTACAGTATTTCGAATTGTCCGAGTCCGTGGAATTTCATTGCTGAGCTGTTATGGGTAGGTCGATAATTATAATGCGACACCGACGATTTATTATTCTCATTTATAGATGTGACACACGACACACACTTGAGGCCCGTGATTGAATGCTTATATATCTACATATTTCTTCGAAAAATGCGACCGCTCCCTTGTTCGCCGCGATTAATTAAGTTCATTGGGTCGCGCCGCACTCATTTATTTATGTGAGAGTATTTCTTATTTAGAAGGGATTGTAGTACTTAATCATAAGAAAACAAGAGCAATAATAATATCAAGGCTTTTTTGGTTGGGAGGCTGAAGTATAAAATAAGCAAGCTTAATTATATAAACACCTCGAAAGAGCATGTTTTTATTTGTTGGAATTAGAGCTGTTTACTAAAACCCATTGGTTACATCAATAGATTATTACTAACCTCAATGACAAAAATAGTTTGCCATCATATGAGACTTTGTAAACTTGTCCTTATTTTATATGCCCCCTTTGCAATAAATTTTAGTATATAAAAAAAAATAAACCAGTAGTTCAAACTTGTAATAAATCATCAAGTTCCCTGATTAAGTAGCTTTAATGACCAGAAGTGTAAGTTCCCAAGATAACATTTTTACCCGCTATAAGATAAACAAATAAAAGAATAATGAATGATTTTATTCAACTTTATTTATCGTTAAATTTGCAAATTTACATAAATACTATTTACAATTACAAAATGTATGCCATTAGAAATGTCTTGAACCAGTTGCTGAACGTAAGTGCTTTTTGTGTCCGAAGAAGTATGTGTGAATTAACTAAATTACCGCAGCTAATTGCTCGTACAGTACGTATAGTGTGTGTTTATATGCATATATCACAGATACTTAAATTCCTCTACAAATAAATCAAACGAATAGGGTAACTAATTACATGTTTTACGATTAAGTAACTATTTATGTTTGCACGGATTAATTATTTGGCCGAGTAAGTGTGTCTAATGCATAAGTCGAAGAAGGGTTAGGCAAAGTCTTAGAGTAACTAACTATCTTACGAATGGGATTTTGGGAAGCTAATGCTCCGTTCCATCCAAATTCAGGATATTAGCACTAATACAACGTGAAGTTCCTTAAGGTCTAGTGTGCGGTATCTAAAATTATTAAGTTGTGTGTGTGTGGATTAAGCACTTAAGGTAGGAAATGTTAGTGTTGTTGTGTACGAGCTAAGACAAAAAGTTCGCTTGATTTATAACACGGCTGCTGGCATTATTATATTGGTATGCCACTCTCGGTATGAGACTCTCCGCTCGCAAAGATGAATGAGTTCGTGTGGTGCGGTGTGCTCTGCTGTGGTGCGGAGTGATGTGGTTTGGTGTGCGTTTATTTCGAGTCATTAAACCCGGAGCCCGAGTGACTCAACCCCGGGCAAAAAACATGACAGACACGGCTCCGTTTCTCCGCTCTGCTCTCTGTTCTCCCCAAAGCACCCAACACACACCCACACACACACCCACACACACACACACTGAAAACCCCACCACCATCTGCACCACCACCACCACCAGCGTTAAGTGTGTACCGCCCCACCGAAACGTGTGCGTCTCGAAAATTTCAGCGGTCGAGTGTAAATATGCTAATTAAAGTTATAAAGCGAAATAATTTATGATATGGTAGGAAATAAAGTTTTATTGCCGTACTTAGGCTACATTTATTGCAAAATAATTAGTGTAGTTATCGCTATCTCTATTGTAATCGTAATCGTTATCGTAATCGTAATCGCGGATTTACCGCCAACTTGCACTTGTCCCCTTTTTGCCAATCGAAGTGGTTTTCGCTTGCTATTTGGTATCTGAGTAACTAACTAACTTACTAGTTAACTGGCTAACTAGCTAACTAGTTAACTTGCTAACTGGTTCAAGGTCGACTTACGACCCGGAACGACTATCCGTTAGATAGGTCAAGTTGCTGCCACCCAAGTGACCGTGGTGGTGCCCCTGGTGGTGTCCGTATCCCGATGAGGACTCGTTACTGTACAAAATGTTGACCATGGAAGCCACCGTCACCGGAGCGGAATGCATCAAAGAACTGTGGCTGCTCCCGCTCCCGCTGCTGCTGCTGCTGCCGCTGCTGTTGAGCTTCATAGTGGGCGGTGTTTGGGGCGGCGTATCGGGCTGGATCTCGGGAAACCCCACCCGTTGCGGCGCCGGATGGATGTGTATGGGCGTATGGGGTATCTTGCCGGAGGAGGAGGAACCGCTGGGCAGGTGCATGCCCATGGCCTCGGTGTACGCCGTAGGTATCCGCGAATATGGCGATCCGCCGGCGTAGCTGCTCATCATACTCAGCGGCGAACCGAGCTCCATCGAGTGGAGCACCTGCTGCTGCTGCTGCTGCTGTTGCGACTGCTGCTGCGGATGATTGGGATGCACCTGATGGGGATGCACCGCTGATGGGTGGTGCGACTGGTGGTGGTGCAGAGGCTGATGATCCGCCGTTGGTGGATAGAAGTTCTGGCCGAGGTACGCCGCGGTGGGCGGGGGGCGTCTTGCAGGCGGCTGTGTCGGCCACGCTCCAGATCTTCGGCTTGCTCGCCGGCACTGGGATGCCACAGTCTCTGCTCAGCGGGTTTTTTTGGGCCGCAAAATTATTGTTGTCCGCCTCCTCTTGGCCATAACCCCCACCAGGATGATAGTACGGCTGCTCCAGCTGCTGGTGATGCTGCAACTGCTGCTGCTGTTGCGACTGCTGCTGCTGCTGCTGCGTCTGCTGATGATGCAACTGCGGATGGGGATGCGGGTGCGTATGCGTGTTATGGGATTGCGCATACGAACTGTAGGCCGCGTGCATGGGATGTGGTGCACCGGGAGGCGTGGCATACGGTCCCGCCAGACCACGCATGGCCACCAGATTGTGTTCCCGCTCCCGTTCGAGATCCAACTTCTGGTCACTGTCCACCTCCTTTTCCGATTTGCCCAGCTCGGATTTGATAAGTTGATTGCCGGGATCTGGAGATCAAGATGATGATGATGATGGGGTGGAGGAGAAGTGGCGAGGAAGACCATGTGGAGACACAAAATAAATTTAATTAATTTCAAGTCGGCAGGCAGGAAGCAGACAAGTTCTTAGTAAGGAGAGGACTTGGGAAAACTTGGCACTTCCAGGAGGTGGAACTTGGCAGCTGGCAGCTGACTGTGGCAAAAACCCTTGAAATTGTTGGTGGGCGTTGATGCGTGCAACCCTCGCAGCCAGCGGAGAAAGCTTTCAGCAGCAAAATACTCGAGTTTCCGCCGACCACCGCCCAAGTTTCCCCACCCCACCCCCTTTCCCTCCTTCCAGAGCGCCGTTTCTATGTGTCGCCAACTCGAACAAGGCCACTTTGGAGTCGGAATACACCGAGAAATACGGGGCAGTTAAATCGATGGTCTATGACATATAACAAACTAGCTTCTGAACTTAATTTTAAATATTTTTAAAAATTTTGATTAATCTTAAAATGCTTATTATTTTTCAATCTATTTAAAAGTTAATTTCCAAAGAAAAATTATTTAATTTTTTAGCCAGGAAAAAGAACGATTCACTACATATAGCATTTCTATATATACTTTTTTGATATTTTGAACAGAGTTTTTATTTCAAAATGCTTGGTATTTTTTTGTTATTTCTTACTTTATAAAAACTTTGAAAATTGTCAAAGAATTTTCGACTGATTTTTAATGCTTGCATTCGCTTTATTTTAAATTTTAATTAAGTACTTTAATAATAATGTTTAAATTTCATTGATTGTTATATAAATACCTACATAATTTACCATCAAAACCTAAGACATTTTACACACTTTTTCCCTCAGTGTCTTGGAGAATCGGAGTGCGGGCGCAAGGCCACTTTGCCAACAATGTGCTGTCAACTTCCGGGGAGGATGTCGCCTAAGCAGTCAGACAAATAAACGGACGCCGGACTTTGGACGGCGGGCAGACGAATGTTGCATAACATTCGCTTCGCCACATAAATTGTACTTAAAAGCCCAGTGCCACAAATCTGCCGAGGAGGCGGGTCACTCGCCAAACCGAAAGGCGTACGAATCAATTGGGGCGAAGGCGTTTGGAAAGCAATTGGAAAGCCGGGTCTTAAGAAATTACAAACAGATCGCTGAGGACCACTAATTGGGGTTGGCTACTAGGCAGGGGTTATATTCTTAAGACTCACCAAAAGCTTCCGTGGAGAGTTTGCCACCATCGCCAGAGTCCTTCTCCTTCTCGTCATCCGACATCATACCATCGTCATCGTCCTCGGTTTTATTCTTGGGCTCCCACGTCATCTTGTTCTCCTTTTTCAGCCGGCGACGAGCATTGGCGAACCAGGTGGACACCTGGGTGAGGGTCATCTTGGTGATGATGGCCAGCATGATCTTCTCGCCCTTTGTGGGATACGGATTCTTCTTGTGCTCACTCAGCCAGGCCTTCAATGTGGCTGTGGATTCCCGCGTGGCGTTCTTCCGCCTGGCGGCGAGATCATAGTTGGGTCCGTACCTGTAAATCAATAACCAATAAGACACCAAGAATCAATAAGGTGCCAGTCACTATCATGGCCACTAATGAGTTTGCTTAGGGCAACAACGATTTTCCGGCCTGCTATCAGCTTTTGTTCAAATAAAGCCCACACCACACACCTTAAAGACAATAATCAGTTATTGGTGGCTGATAAGGATCGCTCCCTTCGAACCGGAATGCATTTGCAACTTCCTCTCGTCTCGTCTAGGTCAACAGCAAATGGCGAAAAGAGTGTTCTATTTCAGCCAGAACCGCGCCTCGGGGCTAAAAACTCTAAGCCAGACATACCCTTTTAAGCGATAAATAAAAAGAAACCCGGCAGACGCGACACGACGAGAAAGTTTTTGTCCCATGGCAACATTTTAAGCCCACTTAAGTTTCCCATTTGTGTATTGGTACAGTGGGACTTCCTGAACTATAACTTTTTGCTATATTACTTGAATAGCTGCTTCCAAGGAGCAAGTTTAAATAATTGTTGCGGAATTAATTGTAATTCTAACATTCTTCTTGAAGTTTATATTTACTAATAATTTGATAAGCTGGTATAATATAAATTTTTTTAAGTATTGATTCATATTATATAAAAAAAATTAAAATAAAATGTGTCTGAAATTCTTTTCCAAAAATAAATAATGGGAATAAAAATATGGAAAATGTTTAAAGGTGTTAAAAAATATCACAATTTCCTACTACATAATTTGAACTTTTTCTGTTGGTTTATTTCAGGTATGTAAATTCGTTTAGACAATGTTAATCTATTTCTATTTTAATAAGTTATCTTAAATACTTTCATTATAAGCATTAATATACATATGTTATAAGTTATTCATTTAATTTCATAACTCATCCTACTAAAGTTCTTTAAATCTTGAACTTGGGAAGTTCTACCGTATTTCCCCCACCCTTCAGTCTGCACCTAAGCCAAAGGTCTTAATTCTAGATGCTCACCCGTAGGCCGCCAGCGTGGGGTCGTAGGAGTAGTAACCGGTGGTTGACTGCAGACTCGCCGAGGTCCAGGCACTCATCTCTGTACTCGGGCTGGAGTCCTTGATGCCGTAGGGATTGCTCTGCAATTGGAATTCGAAATTAGGTTCGAAAATCACCGATTAGTTAGGCACTGAGCCACTTGTAAGCCGGAATGGAATGGAATGGAGTGGTAGCCTGTGAATTTGTCAGCCCCCAGGTAATCGGGTAATCGCGGCAGTTACAAGTTACCGCGCCTAACGAGCTGACGGCCAACATGGCGATATCTGCTCAACCTGTCGCCTCGCATTTGCGCGGACTTCCGCTGGCTGAACAAAGCCAATTAGCCAGGCTACCCCAAGGTTCCCCTTGGTATTCCAATCCTTACCAGAGGTGCGTAGAAGGCGGAGTTATCCACTCCAATGCTGGGATACGGGTTCTGGTCATTCGAGGGATACGGTCCGCCGTAGACGCCAACTCCGCCGGAGGGCAGAGCCATCCGGGAATAGCCACCAATGGCCAGTCTGGCCGGATCGTATTGGCAGGAGCAGACTGTTTGGCCGGAAACGGGATCCGTGATGATGGGTCGTCCGTTCTCGCAGCAGGATCCCCGAGTGGGCAAATCCTGGGCGGCAGATGAAAGGGGTCCTCCGGGGACATCTGCACCACCCACCACATCCTCCGCCGGCGAGGTGGAGAGACCCTTGTGACCCGCGTGGTGCGACGACTGGGAAACTGCACCTGGACTCAAAGGACCCGCGGTCAGACCCGTGGCCGTTGAACCGCCCGAGGGACTCAGCGAGGCCTCGTTCGTCCCCGAGAGCGGCGATCCTCCGCCATGGCCACTCTGGCTGTCGGTATTGGCGGTAGTCAGCTGCAAAGATGCCGAGGTGGGTAAAAAAAAGAAGAGAACATTTTAGCAATGCCGAAAAAAAAGGAGAAGGAGAACTCAAACATTTCTGCGGTGAGGGAATCTCACACTGAGACAAATTAGGTGTAGAACTTATCAATATAAATGTATATAATTTCTTACTTATTATTAAACATTTAAATACCAAAAGAAGCTTATAAAAATAGGCAACTTTCTCACGATGAAATATACTCTTTCTGATTAATAAAGTAATGAAAGTTAGTATGAAAGTAACAACTATTGTAGTAATAAAGAAATAATGATATAAAATTTTGAATATTAATAATAATAATAATAATAATATTTGATTATTCTAGTTCGGAATAAAAAATATTATTAAAATAATAAAAATAAATTACCTTTATTTCGTCTTTACATTAATTTGAAGTTAAGATTGAAAATATAAAATTGAAATGTGTTTTTATGCAAGGTTCGTAGGTTACACACTTTTAAAGCTCATAAAAAGGAGGGCAACGGCAAACAACCATTCTCATATGATTTCTCTAAGTGCACGAACAGGTGAAGTTGGCAGGACCCGAATGAGCGGAGTGAAGAGTAGCGAAGAGAGGGATAGAGAGGGTCAGAGGAGGGAAGGAGAGGTAAGCGCAAAGGCATGTCCCTGCCGACCAGGTCGAAATCAACAAAGCAGATTAAGATGATAACTCCAAATGTCAAAATATTTTATTGGCCTGGCGCATTTTGCGATCCGTTCCATCTATTTTCACTTCATTAATTTTCAATTTATCACAGTCAGATTTTAGATACCGCTTCGTCCGAAGCCGAGCGGCCTGCACATCGACGATTGAGGATCGAGGATTGAGGATCGAGGGGTTGAGGATTCAGGGATCTTTGAAGAGGGTTCTGTTCTGCTCGGTTCTGTTTGGTTTTCGAACCCATGGTAGTGGAGTATCAGTGGACCGATCGATCGAGTGGGAATGGGCACGGCCCGGCCAAAAGGGCAATCAAATGATGAGGGACGCAGGTAGGCTCACTCCTCACTCCCCTCCGCACGCGATAAACCCCGACTATATAACCCATATCCTCGCTGGCACGATAACCGCAGCGAATCGGAGACATCTGAGCCGGCGGTTAGAAACCCTCGATTCGATCGGATCGAAAATCCCAAAAAAAAAAAACGAAGAGTGTAAATAGAAGGTCGACCCAGATTCCCGATGCGATGACTTGGCTGTCAAGTTCACTTCACGCGCCTCAAAATCTGGCTTACATCTCGCCACTGACACCGAATCCAATAACAATCCCTTTGCTTATTATTATTTCGAATTGCTACCGTTCCTCGCATTCAGTTGATTTCTCCGCCTATCACGGCTTCTGCACAATCGGGGCCCATATGATTTAAATAATAATGGTAATTCAAGGCTAAACGAGCTGATTCGCCAACACCTCCTGCCTGGCTATCTAATCGACGGGGCAATTTCGCACCGACGCCGAAAAGCACCGGGAAATTATTGCATAATGAAGGTGTTTCATGAATGAAATCTAATGAATTCTGAATGAATGGAGGCAGGAGTAGTCGACGTCGACTGAGGAGGAGCTGTCTCCGCTAATGTACAAAACGCTGGGCGCGCTCGTTTCTTATTATTCTTTATTTTTTATGCGATTCGAACATCAATTTCAGTTTTTGTGGCCGCCCATAAAAAACACATATCGGCGACGTTGACGACAGCAAACTGGGGACTTGGACCTGGTGCTTTCTGGACTTTAGTCCAGACTGGCTGGTCAACTTTTTGGTTGGTAGGAGTTGTGGCTTGGAACAGCGCTTATTATCGGCACGCAAGTCAGTTTATTTTTAATGGTTCCCACTCACCCACTCGGCTGCAGAAATCGCAGGAAGTGCAGCGAAGAGCGCCCAGCCGCGGAGTTTATCGCAAGGTGACTCCAGATAGGATAAGCCACACTCCAAGGAACCAACTCGGGGTTCTGAGTTTGAGTTTGGGTTTGGGTTTGGCCCTCTTGGCTTGGGTTTCTATTCTGCGGAAATGCTGAAACTTGTTGGCAGCTCCTAAATGCCGTCTTAAAGTTCGGAGCTCTTTTATGACTTTTTCGGACAGTTTTGCTGTCGGTGTCAAATTGCGGCAAGTTTAATAAGGATTATTCGCGGAGTTGCCACAAGGAATATTTTATATTCACACTTGTGGCCATCTCCTATCTGTCTTAATCATAAAGAGGAGTTTTTCATGGAAACTTTTGACGGTTTTATCAACGAATATTTGCAAGACGTAAACTAAAGTTCTTAAAGCTTTTACTTCCGTGTGGTTTGAATATAACCATTCAACATTAAAATATAAATAAGCCAGATAATTCAACTACTGTAAGTTGGTTAAGAAATAAAAATAAAGGAGATTTATTGGTAAATAATGATAGCTTTCATAAACTAAATAAGTTTATGTAAATTAGTTACTGGTGTGATTCCTTTTCACTTTAAGACCAAGCTACAAGTTAAATCACGCCTGAAAATGGTGTTCTCTAATTGTAATTAACTATCCGAAGGGCAGGCAACTCAGCCGAGGACTACGAGTCAGATTTTAATGCCCCATGACGAAAGTTCAAAGTGGCAATTCAACCTTGCATCTTTAACTGCAAAGCAAACATGAAATCTGCAAAACAGCTGGACAAGCGAAAGTCTAAACAAGAAATGAAAAAAATGCGAATTCGGGTGAACCGGCATGGACATTGTGTAAATCTCTATCTGCGCCTTTGAAGTGCCCATATCCATAACCATATCTACATCCACATCCATATGCAGATGCAGATGGAGATGCCGATGCAGATATATTTACAGATACGCTGGCAAGCGGAGGGGCTACAGATGGCCACCCGCACCCATTCTGGCCAAGATGTTGGGAGAACTGCTGCCGTCACTTTACGGTTATTAATTTTATGATTTATGCTTAAGCTCACGAGTCCGCCTCCCAAATGCCCATGCTCATTTCACGAACGCACGATACCATACTATATAGTACGGTATAGGTATAGGATAGTATGGTTTGGTATGGTATAGCAGTACCGATATGCCAGGCGAAGACAAAGGAGATCGGCATTGTTGTTGCGATTATTGGTGGTGCTGCCGTTTCGCTGTTTGTTGCTGCTACCGCTGGGATGCGTTTATGGATTTTGTTTTTGCACTCCTAACAACGACTGCGAAACAAAAGCTATCTGGGGGATGGAGTATAGGAGTATGGAGTATAGGAGTATGGAGTATGGGAGTTGTGGCTTCTACGGTTGGGGGGCCTTGACGCCAGCCTCGAACAATAAGCGAAAATATGAGAGGATCCCAGGCAGAAAGGAAGCTGGCAGGCGAACGAGTCCCTACAAAACAAACACATGTTCGCATCAACAGACGCATTCGCATTCGCATTCGGAATCGGAATCGGAGTAGGAATCGCATTCGCAGTCTACTTCTCCGGCGACTGACTCTTGGATTTGGCATATTCTCACATTCATTCAGCAGGATTGCGCTGCCAAACGAGTACGCCATATTCATACAGATACCCACTCCTCCGATGTACACATCGAGAAAAATAGAGCTACACTTTCTAATAGCAACAAAAATAATATGTCAGCTTACGATCCCTCGTTAAGATCAACATCGCAGTTTTTAATAAACATATTTTAAGACTGATTAAACCAACTAAATTTAAGTTCAAATCCAAAGCAGTTGACTTTAACCATGTGATTTTATTTATATTATATTTCATTGAATACAATAGTCTTGCTCCACTTTCCCCCTCAATGAAATATACTGAATTAATTTTACAAATATCCACAGTCTTAAACAACGAGAAGCAAACTATCTCATGCTTAAAAGATAACAAGGTGTATACCTTTCTGAATTAAAGAATGGAAAATATTATGTGGAAAGGCAAAATTACTAAAAAAATCAAAATTATGTCTGCTATTCAATGTAAAAATTACAAAAATCAGATAATTTTCATTTGAATTTTTAGGATGTTTGAAAGAAATTTAAATTTAAAATCGGACTATTTAAGTGGTTGAGGATAGGTCAAATTAAAATGCTTTATATGGACTTCAAGTTTTTAAGGCGATAAACAATAAACAAACGAAATAGAGGGACTCCAATTGATGGCCAATTTACCATATATTTTCTTTCTGTGCATCAGAAACCAAAAGAGAGTAGAAGGACCATCCCGAAGTGCGTTTTTGCTAATGCGAATAATGCGAATAAGTTGCTTTGTTTTTTGTGCAGCGCATCGCTCCGCATCGCGCTTATTGAATTAAGTTCGGGCGCAGCATTTGCGGTAGTGGAACAACTCTTTCCCAACTGCGGTCTCAATGTTTGCATTAAAAATTCATAAATCAATTATGGAATGCACACTGCGAAATATTAGTTTTTTCTCGCATCATTTACGGGCCTGTCCTTTTGCGTCCCAAAGGAGCGCGCGGATGGGGATTGTGGATGGGGAATAGGGATTGGGGAATGGGGATGGGAGGATGGCCAATGGGTACAGGACTCGACAACGTCGCGCCGCTTTTTGTGGCCATAGAATTCGAGTTATTTAGCCATGAAATGCGTGAACAGCTCGCATGGGAAGCTAAGAATTCGCGATGTGCCGCTCGTCTGCTACTGCCAACTGTCAGCCGTTGATTAAATTCATATATTGCATGCGTTGACGTTTTTGCCTCATTTTTGGAATGCCGTCTTGGCGTTGAAATTAAAATTAAATTAATGAATTCGCCCCGGGCGAGGCTGTGTGTGCACTGCATAAATTGTAAGGTTTATAAATTTGGCACCCAAGTCGACAGATATTGTGTATGCACCTATGTATCAGTTTTCTGAGATAGTATCTCACTCGACCAGTCTTTAATTGGGCTTAGTAGCCGGACTAAATGGCTTTTCAAGCTTCAAAGGGGGCAAAAACGTAATGCAAATGAGGTAAAACGATGACAAAATCCTGGTGGCTTTTAATCGATCGGCAAAAGGCTTTGCACATCTGCAGCCATAATTATAGTCGATAATCTGAGCGTTCATTATTTTAATTATTGTAATTTACCAAGTTTGCATATTATAATAAATGGTCCACCGCTCCGGCGGCTTCATTAGCATAAATTTATGCCCGCAGGCATGGCCCAGCAATATATGTATTTGTATATGTAGATACTATATGGTATATATATATATTGGCAACAGGACACGGACCCTGGATAAACGCATAAGTCTAGCATTGACGCATTAGACCACATAGCAGTCGTTGAACAAGGAATTACACAGCCATTGAAAGGGCTTTTGTAGTTGCAAGTGTTTCGGCCCGATTTCCTCATACCCCAAATTAACCCCCTTCGGCCCACAAGCGGCGGCCAACTAATTTGAATTACTGAGCTCGGAATACCGGGTAATTATGACCAGACCTCGGACGATGCACCGCCACTCCCCAAAATCCCCCTGGAATTCCTCGATTGCATCCAAGGCGGCTTTCAATGGCGGTGACGGCTGTCCTAAATTGTGAAACATTTCTTGGCGGCGGCGGGGCGGCCATTATGGGTATGGTATGGATATGGATCCAGGAGCTCCAACCGGTGCCAAAGTGCTTGAATATTCATGCGACGCCCCGGCCTGCCTTTCCCGCCGGCTTAAAATGTAAATTTAAAGTTATTTTCACCCAAACCACATTCACTGCTGCGTCCATTATTAAAGACTTTCCTCGCACATGCCAAAAAATCTGTGGCTGAATTTCTCGACTGACTCACTAAATTTCTGGTTTCCGAAAAATCACTTTCGTGTCCCTGGGTGTGCCAAATATTATTTTAAACTGAGACTAATTCCACAGGCCCTAATAAATTGTGTTCTCGAGTGTATATTGAAATCACTAAGATATGGTGGCATATTGAAATGACAGAGATGTAAATCAAAATATTTTAAATATTTTTGGGTAATAAATAAAATAAAATATAGTATTTATTTTTTTGACGAAAGGTAATAATTTAAATGGTTTCTTTAGTGCCTTAACAAAATACGTATTAGATGTACTGCTTAGAGGAGGCTAAAATAAACTTATCTTCAAAGATTAAACTATTTTAACTTGTCTTTGTTATCACGAAATTTAATGTGCGTTTTGATGAGGTTTTATTTGCCTTAGAATCATTTCCTTAAACATTATGTTAAACTTTGCCAATATTTTGAACAAGCTTCAACTCTTTTGGTTTTATGAAAACATAAAACTTATCAAACTTTTTAGGAAATGTTATATTTAAATAAATGGAGCCCTCTCTAAAAAAGGCATGGTTGCTATTATGGCCATATAGTAGGAATTTAAATTTCTTATTCTGGCTTTGCTTGAATAAAACTGCTTAACTAACAAGCTTACTAACAAATTTCCTAACACCATTAAATTGAGTCAGCAAAAGAATAACATTAAAATGTTATCAAAATTACTATAGATATTTTTACATTATTTTAATGTCCTTAACTTTTTCAACATATTAAATTATGCTCCACTTAAAGTTATCGAAATGTTTAGTCAGGCCAATAAACACCAATCCTCTAGCAAAGCAACTTAAGATAATCAGTTAGGCTAATAAATATCCCGCGAGTGCGACTTAAGCGGATAAGGAACCCACCTGATTTGCCGTCGGGTAGCCAGCGTATCCAAACTGCGCATATGCAGCCATTGTCTCGCTGTCTGAATTGGCTTAAAAAAGCGGCGACACGCGAGTTCACTGTGCCTGGCTTCACTGTGGGGCGTCCGTTGTGTTTTTTGTTATTTTTATTTATTTTTTTTTACTATGTAGGATGCGGATGTGGATGCGAGAGAATAAACGGATGCGGATGCTGGCGGAGCCCTTGCAAAAGGGGTTGGGTGTTCAAGGATGTGGGGTGGTGGTTGAGTGGGTGGCTAAGGGAGGTTCGCGTGGGTGGCTGGGCGGTTGGGTGGCTTTGGCGTGCGTGCTCGACGGCTAAGCACTTTGGGCGCTTTTGTTGTTTGCTGGCTTGTTGGGTGTTGCGCTATTGTTGTTGCTGTTGGCCTTGTTGAAAATTGATAAAACAAATTGTCGATGTCGAGCAGTTCTGTTAATGTCGCCGGAGCCGGAAAATGTTTTGTTTGTTTTGTGTGTGACTTTGCTTATTTTTTTCATCCGTTTTTACTTCATTTTTATTGACTCTGTATGACTCTTTGGCGGCCGGTTTAAAAAATGTTATTGGAACAAAAACAAACAGCCAGCAAACCGAATTGGCTTCAAGTGTTTGCCGCAAACAGATTTACGGTTGAAGTACAAATGTACGCGGCTCTTCAGTCTTTAGTTAAAGAATGTCCAGCACAGGTCTTAAATGTTTGGTTTTGGGGATTAACTGAACATATTTTGTTATGGCTAATAATTACTGAAAGTTTAGTTTTTCGAAGGTTTTTTTTGTTTATAGGTAGTGCACTTTAAATCGAGCTTTTGTTATAGTCAGCTATTGAAATTTTTAGATATGTCAGCTAAATGGTCCATTTTTATATCGAGCGAGTTTTTGATATCATTTTTGTCTTTAATTTTATTGTGTATTTTTGAATTTTGTTTTAACAGCTAAAACTGTTTTTATGAGTTTAAAGGATTTGTTAGGCCACCATTTGATGATTGTTTCTTTTGAAGTGATGGTCCGTTTTATTGTTGTTGTTATTTTTGAGATATTGCACGCACTTTATTATTTTTACAGCGGTTGCATCTGCCGATCCGATCCGCTCCAGTAAAACGGGTTCCGCAACCTGTCAGCGGGATCTCAACGGTGACGGCTGGCAGTGACTGCTACTGCGACTTTCAAAGTGACTGCGACTGTAACTCGTTTTCGGGTTTTCTATTTTCGTTTCGGCCTTTTTTCGAGTTTTTGGGCGACGCGGCGGAGATGCCAAGATGCGAAGATGCGCACCTATTCGCGTTTCGAAACAAACTGTTTTTCGGCCGCTCAGCGAGCAGCGCGTTTGTGTGTGAAAGAGAGCGCAGCAGCGGACAGAGCGGGATGGCTGCAAGCCACGAGAGAGCACGTCAGCAGGCGTTCTGTGGTTGGCCAGGGTTCCAATCAGATGGGGAGCACGGCTCTGCTGCTTACTCTCTTACTCTTGTGTACGTGGTCTGACTGCGAGAGAGATGGAACATCTCTCTGGGGCTGTTATTGCTTTCCTCAGAGAACGCCCACCTCCAAGCACTGGAAAGTGAATCGGCGCTCTCTTTCTGCCTTCCCCTCTCTGTCGTCGTTGGAAGCGATTTCATGGCGGACCACGATCGAAAGGCTTCCCAATTGGATATTGTAGCCGCAGTTGGCTAAGAATTTTCCGATGTTGATAAAAACTACAAAATAAAAATAATTGGGTATATAACTATGGAGTTGGTAAAGATTTGGAATCATAAGAACCTGCAGAAGCGGAAAGATTTGTGATTAATTAAGTAGTTTTGAATTACAACATTTATATAATAACACGCAAATAATAAAAAATCATGCATAAACCTTATATGTTATCTAATGTTGAAACGCTGAAGGAAAAGTATTTGACCCATTTTTAAAAAAATATCCAATTTAAACTTATTTAAAAACAAATTTAAAAAATACTGAATGGTAGAAAAACATATGAAATACTAATATAAAAGTTGTTTTTTATAGATGCTTAAAATCAAGATCAAAGATATAGTAGATATAAATAGGATTCCCCTGATGTATACACTAAATATAACTTGGATATTTGTTAATTTCAGAAGCATTAAAAAAATATTTTTTTAATCATGCCTAATAAAATCATTTAATAGACGGCAAATTGTCTTCTTTTTTCCCACAAATATAAACGTCTTAAGGCCTCTACACGGAAAAATTGTAGCTAATTGGCACTAGCTAATCGTAACAAGACACCGAAATGGGAAAAACAAACAAACATCTCGATCCTATTTGATCCGAGGGTGAGGGCGTGGCCCGGTCCACTCGAGAGTCCTCGACTCGAGTGCGTTCTAATTAATGGCAAGCGAAGCAGCCGGAGAAGGGAATATTTTTGGGGAATTTCTGTAAAATGAGTATTTTGATGTTTTGGGGTGTTAACGCGCTGCCATTTATTATAAATGCGAGCGCATCTCAAAGTCAAAAGAGACGCACATGTGTCCCTTTTTTCAGTACTTTCCAATGTACTCGTATGTAAATGTGTGCGCCAGTGTGTCATTTGCATAGGAAAATGCATCAAGTATTTTTGGGAAAAGTGCCAGGCTGTCCAACTCGTGATCGTTACACTTATTGTAGACTCGATTGCTGGACGCTCTTGGCGGCGCCAGGAAATTCTACACCCACTTCATGAATCCCGGGTGTATCCACCAGATTTGGAAGGATGCACATGAAAGAAGTCAACTGAAAAGTAAGGAATTTATCCTCAAAAATAGAAGGCTTAGGCAGTTTTGGTTTTTCGTCAGATTTATTTACAAAGCGTGCTACCAAGAAAGCATCTATTTGAAAATTAACAAATTTTTAAGAAAATATAGACTACACAACTTTAAAAGTTACCATTTATGTACATTATTTTTACCAGAAACAATATAACTTATTTTTAAACGAATGCAAAAGATAATGTACCTCAAATAACACTTGAACAAAACATGGTTTTAAACAAAAAAATAGTTTCACTTAAAAGTATGAATTTCAAGGTATTCAAATCCAATTCAAGGATGTGCATACTCATACAATTTGTAAGCCAACAACTTTGTTCTGGCCTTCTTTCCATCGATTTATGTGAGTGATTTGTGAAATAATTTTGGATATGTGAACTGTGGCACATGTCGCAGCTCCTTGGTGGCATCCAACATGCCTGTCCCCATAAATGTCCTGATCCCAGGATGCCCATTGTCTGAGCTCTGTTTTCATTTAGTGCAACACAAGCTCGAAACATTCTTCACTCGGTGGACAGGACATGCAGATTATATTGAAAACAATTTAAATGTAGATTTTGGCGTTAAGAGATATTATTCTTCGACGCCAGGTGCGTTGGTTCAGGCACACTCGCACACTCCAATAAATACGAGTGTGTGTACAAATTTAACTGCTAATGTGTGTTTGAAGCTGTGTGTGTGCGTGTGTGTGTGAGTGGGTGGGAGGTGGGTGGTGGGAATACAGCAGAGAGTTGCAGGCACTCCGCCCACCGCCTCCTTCCACTGAAAGGCTTCTTACTTAAGTGTTGTTTCATGTCACCTGGAAAGCATTTGGACATGAAATTGTCGCTTTTCAGTATGTGGCACACACTCACACAGATACCAGGACACACACACATACAGACTTCTACCTCTCGGCGAAAAATCATCTTCCTTGCACACACACACACACACACTGACAAAGAAAGCCAGGATAGTGTGCTTCTGGTGAATATAATAAAATCCTTTTCGCAAAACGATAAACGATAAAGTCACCGGAACAAGCACAAAAGGACTCTCCATGCAAATTGCTTTAAATGAATTTGTTTTCGTTTGTGTTTGTGGGTCTGAGTTCTGAGTTCTCGAGTTTTAGCCCACGACTCCAAGGGGAGCCATGTCCCATGTTTCAACACTAAAGATTCTGTTACAAATTGCCATAATCCTCCCAATCATATTCACCATTTTTAACCAGAATTTTGAACTGAAAATTCTATGAGATAGCAGGTGAATGGGTGGAGCGGCCAACTCCACTCACCAATCAGTGTTTGGCGTTATCAGCCATTCCAGATAGCGAGTGGTGCTATCGCCACCTGGAAATCTTATCGAGCGAGCACTCGAAAATGAAATTGCTGATCAAACAGAACAAAAGCGCACACAACATTCACCAAACATTCATAAATGGAAACATACTTATTTACTCACTTCTCAAAACAAATCAACAAATCGGTGCTCTTTGTGGTTCAAGTGCCGATCGCCCCGAAGTCAAAAGCATCCGATGTGTTAGACCCCGATTTGGAATGGGAATGGGAATGGGTATTGGGTATATACCCTTTCCTCCGAATTCTTTGCGCGTGCGTTCCCTTTTGTCGGCATTTTGACATCGACATCCCATCCGCAGTCACGATTGATTGTCGCAACAATTGACGTGATTTCTAGTCTCCAATTGGTTTTCGAGTCTCTTAGACTCTCGACCGCTCCAGAATTATCGGTGCCAAGCCCGTGAGCACGTGATAAGTCGGAAACCTGGAAGTGCCACTCTATATGCTATATGCTTTGTGGGGCCCACGGCAATTATAAGTAGATGCTTTGTATGGACAGCTGTCCGTCGGTCGGTGGCATGCGTCACGACCGACATTGCCACATGCCGCGTCTTCGGAATAGGGATCTACATGGGTGTTTGGCATGATTAGCACGTCGGAAGTGACTCGGAGTGTCAACGCTCTATTCTAATTGCGATTTAATGAGGTACCGAAGCAGTTAAGCAAAGAAAGTGAATGTCAAATGACCCAAAAAGTAGAGAAAGGTAAGAAAATGTTTAACGAAATAATGAAGGATCGTTTTATACTCGTTTAAAAATCACTTAAGGGTTGGTCTATTAAAATAGATATAAATAATGATATTTTAGTAACTCAATAAATGATTTAACTGAGTTTAACTTGATTAAAAACTTTAACATTTCGGTAAAAATTTATTATAAATAAATAAGACAACAATATATTCTGTTAAAGGCAGTATAAATAAGAAAAAAAGCATATTTAAGCTCATTCTATACAGTATTATTAAAATTAAAAAGATTTTATAAGCGCTTTACATACAAATAAGTTTTTTTTATGGCAATTAGTTGCTTTAAAGAGAATGCAAGGTTTGCCACCAAATTATTATTATGCACACAAGTATTGCAATAAAAAATATTTTTTCTCTGCAGCTAATAACTAACACAAATATAAGGACAACATAAAAATAAATCTATATTACCCAACTTCTGCTCACAGTCTGCTTAATTGACTGCAATCTCGTCTGAGCCCTTGCGCTTCCGCTCGAACATGAAAACTTTTCGGCTTGATGTTGCCAAGTTGATTCCCCAAAGAGGGAGTGGCATACACGGTTTTAAGTACATACCTGTACTTCAGAGAACCGAAATGAGTTCAAGGATATATAAAGTTACCGAAATTGCCGAAAAGTTCAGTGCAACAAAAAAGTATGCTATAAAAGCAGATAATTACAAACTTTGGCAGACAAGTTTATTTTGCAATAGCTTGTCAAGTGCTAATTGCTTACTCTTTTGTTTACTAATTGGAAGGTATTCACAAATATTCTCTAAATAAATGCAAGCTATCACTTTTATACCAATAAAAATCTCTTACGTGGTTTAAGAAATAAAGACAGGAAAATTCCAAGAAGTAAGCATTGTTCCAAGTTAATTTATTTGACAGCTTCTTTGCAGCATTTAACACTTCTATTTGCGCAAATAAACAACTGGATATTCAGTCTTATAAATAGAAACTCCATATAAGTAGATCGGGATGCATGACGGATTGACTATGATAGCACAATTATAAATAATGTCTACTTATCCCTCTCTGAGGAAATGGAAATGGAAACGGAGCCAAGGGAACCGATTTCAGGCCGCCGTCGCCCTGCGCGAAAAAATAAAGTGCGAGATTCATGTTTGCCACCCAAAGTGAACAACATTTGCGAATTTCGAAATTAAATTCCGTGTCATTCCGTGTAAATCATTTGCAAAATTGCCGCGATGTCGCTGCATCTCTAGTGGAGCGGTGCGGCCGTGGCAATTTATCAAAAATAAATCATTTTGACGAGTCGCCGGGCCAAGTTAAGGCCAATTGCAAGTGCGCGACTGCGGATCGCGAATTACGCCCTGGCATTACGTATCCGATGGATGCAAATTTATCTGTGGCTGTGGATGTGGATGGCGGATGGCGGATGGGAGGCAACTTCATGGGTAAGTACACGAGTCGAGTAGATACCTGTCGC